TTAAGTTCTGGACAAATTTATGGTGGGGACTGGGACAGCTCTTCTTTGGCCAATTCCTTACCTTGTCTCTTCAGCCTTACTCTAAACCAAGGCGCTCACATCTCCCATGTTTTATCCTCAACCCTCCCCCAGTTCAACTGGGCTCTGAACCTTAGAAGACTGATAAGTGACTTAGAACTCAGCGAAGTGACTAGTTTTCTGCACACCCTTAGAGAGGTCTACCTCTCCCCTAACACCTCTGACCTTCAAGTCTGGACCCTTCACCCGGCAGGTAAGTTCTCAACCAAGTCTTGCTTCAAGGCTTTAATTTCCAAAGAGTAGACACCTGATCAGTTCCCCTTCAAGAGAGTTTGGTGCTCCATATCCCTTCTAGGGTTTGTTTTTTTGTGTGGGAAACCAACTTGAAGAGAATCAATACTTATGGCCTCCTTCAGAAAAAGAACCTTGGAAGATCTTATTTCTCCCCGCATGTTTGTTGCTTCTGTTTAAAGGGTGGGGAATAAGCCAACCATATCCTACTTCACTGTGAGGAAACCAGGAAACTTTGGAACTTCTTCCTCACCTTATTTGATTATAGTTGGGTTTTCCCAAAACATGTGGCAGACTTCTTAAGACAATGGATAGGGAGAGGATTCAATAAAAGAGGGAAGACATTGTGGCAATCTGTTGCAAATGCTACTCTTTGGAGTATCTGGGAAGAGAGAAACAACCGTGTGTTTAACAACAGAACTAGAAATCACAAGGAGCTCACTTCCATTATCTCCCACAGATGCTTCCTTTGGGCTACCAGTTCGGAGTATTTTAAAGGAATCTCTATCTCTAATCTTCATAGGAATGCAGCAAACTTTTTATTTTCCCAACATGTTTCCAACACTACCCCCCACAGTTTCAAAGTTGGGGAGGAAGCGCAGATAACCTTGTATTTCGATGGAACTGCTTTCAGTAATCCAGGTGAAGCAGGCATTGGAGGTGTTTTTAGAAGAAGAGATGGCAACATTAGTTGGGCTTTCAGTGGACCGATTGGGATAGTCTCTTCAACAAAGGCTGAAATCTTGGCAGCCTTAACTGGTATCCAGATAGCAAGAGACTTGGGTTATTCAAATATCACCATCAAAGGAGACTCAGCTAATACTTTCAATTGGTTAGCTGAACCTGAGAATGGCCCCTGGACTTTAGTTCATTACTTGACTGAAGTGAGAGACATCCTCTCCTCTTTGAATGCATACTTGGGCTGGATACCTAGGGAGCTAAACACTGTAGCTGATGGCCTAGCAAGGTCTGGTGTTCACAGGGATTACCTTTTTAATGGTAGCTCTCTCTTCCTGTATAACTATTAGAGTTATTAACCTCTTTTTGTACATCTTCTCATGTACTTTTTGTCTATTTTGAATGAAGTTACCTTTTTCTCAAAAAAAAAAGTAAACACAGGCCTTATATGGTAGGCCATATCATTTTTATGCTTATCTTGGAGGCAATTGCATTTTGATCATTTTTATGAGATGCGGAAAGTTATGTAGAACCCAAAGACGAGACTGTTACTAGTTGAGTAAAGTTTTAAGTGTAACTTTGTCTGCATCCTTGAAACGAATTGGCTTTCCAGTCTTAGGATAATGTTCAACTGTGTAAATATTGTAGTTGGTCCACTTGTTCACCCCTCCTCC